GTGTATGATCTCTTTTAATGTATTGTTGGATGCGGTTTGCCAGTATTTTGTTGAGGATTTTAGCGTCAATGTTCATCAGTGATATTGGCCTGAAGTTTTCTTTCTTTGTTGTTTCTTTATCTGGTTTTGGAATTAGGATGATGTTGGTCTCATAAAAAGAGTTTGGGAGACTCCCATCTTTCTTGGATTTTTTTGGAATAGTCTGTGAAGGATAGGGGGTTAGCTCTTCCTTAAATGCTTTGTAGAATTCTCCTGTGAAACCATCTGGTCCAGGGCTTTTGTGTGTTGGGAGTTTTTTTGATTACTGCTTCAATTTCTTTTGTTGTTATTGGTCTGTTCAGGCTTTCTGCTTCTTTTTCATTGAGTTTTGGAAGATTATATTTTTCTAGAAAGTTGTCCATTTCATCTAGGTTTTCAAATTTCTTGGCATACAGTTCTTTGTAGTAATTTCTTACAATCCTTTGTATTTCTGTGGTATCTGTTGTAATCTCTCCTCTTTCATTTCTGATTGTGTTTATTTGCGTCTTCTCTCTTTTTCTTCTTGATGAGTCTGCTTAAAGGCTTGTCGATTTTGTTTATCTTTTCAAAGAACCAGCTCTTGGATTCAGTGATCCTTAGAATTGTGCTTTTAGTCTCTATGTCATTTAATTGTGCTCTGATCTAGGTTATTTCCTTCCTTCTGCTTGCTCTGGGCTGCCTTTGTTGTTGTTCCTCCAGTTCTTGTAGACGTAGGGTTAGGTTGTTTGTTTGGAATGTTTCTAACTTTTTTAGGTGGGCCTGTATCACTAAGAACTTCCCTCTCAGGACTGCCTTGGATGTGTCCCATAAGTTTTGGGTTGTGAGTTCGTTTTCATTTGTTCCCAGAAACCTTTTGATTTCTTCCCTAATATCCTTCTTGACCCATTCATTGTTTAATAGCATGCTATTTAATCTCCATGATTTTGAGTGTTTTGGGTTTTTCCCTTGGGGTTGGTTTCTAGCTTCAGTCCCTTGTGGTCTGAGAAAATGCTTGGTATGATTTCAATTTTCTTGAAATTCTTGAGGCTTGTTTTGTGTCCTATCATGTGGTCTATCTTTGAAAATGTTCCGTGTACATTTGAAAAGTATGTATATTTAGCTTCTTTTGGATGGAGGGCTCTGTATATATCAGTAAAGTCCATTTCATCAAGGGTATTGTTCAATGCCACAATATCTTTGTTCATATTTTGTTTGGAAGATCTGTCCATTTTTGATAGTGGGGTGTTAAAATCTCCCAATATTATTGTGTTGCTGTCCATATCTTTTTTGAAGTCCTCTAAGATTTTCTTTATGTATTTGGGTGCTCCTATGTTGGGTGCATATATATTTACTATATTTATGTCTTCTTGGTGGATTCTTCCCTTGAGTATTATGAACTGACCTTCTGGGTCTCTCTTTATGGACCTTTTTTGGGAAGTCTATTTTGTCTGATATGAGTATTGCTACCCCGGGCTTTTTTTTTCCTGTCCATTTGTTTGGAAGATTTGTTTCCAGCCCTTCACTTTCAGCCTGTGTAGGTCTTTTATCCTGAGGTGGGTTTCTTGTAGACAGCAGATATGTGGGTCATTTTTTCTTATCCATTCAGCTATTCTATGTCTTTTGATTGGAGCATTTAATCCATTTACGTTTAAGGTTATTATTGATAGGTCCTTATTCATTGTCTTTTATGTACGTGTGTTCCTCTCTCTCTCTCTTTTCCTTCCCTTCCTTAAAGCAGTCCCTTTAGAAACTCTTGCAGAGCTGGTTTGGTCGAGGTGTATTCTTTTAGACTTCTTTTGTCTGAGAAGCTTCTTATTTGGCCTTCTATCTTGATTGAGAGCCTTGCTGGATATAGTAGCCTTGGTTGCAGACCTCTGGTTCTCATTACCTGGAGTATTTCTTCCCATTCTCTTCTGGCTTAAAGTGTTTCCATTGAGAAGTCAGCTGTTAGCCTTATTGGGGCTCCCTTGTATGTTACTTCCTGTTTCCTCCTTGCTGCCTTTAAGATTCTCTCTTTGTTAAAATTTGCCATTTAATTTGCCTATTAAATTTTTGCCATTTTAATTATGATGTGTCTTGAGGTGGGCCTCTTTGGGTTCCTCTTGATTGGGCCTCTGTGTTTCCTGCATTTGTGTGACTTTTTCTCTCATCAAATTAGGGAAGTTCTCCTTCATTACTCATTCATTTAGGTTTTCAATCCCTTGCTCTTCTTCTTCTCCTTCTGGTATCCCCTATTATACAGATATTATTACGTTTCATATTGTCTTGCATTTCTCTTAATCCCTCTTCATTCTTTCTGAGCCTCTTTTCCTTTTCTTGCTCTTTCTGGATGTTGTTTTCTACTTTGTCCTCCAGCTCGCTAATCCGACCTTCTGCTTCATCGGTTCTGCTTTTCATTCCTTGTACTGTGTTCTTCAGTTCAGAAATTGTATTCTTCATTTCCTCTTGACCTTTGTTGAGAGTTTCTATTTCCTTTTTCATGTTTATATAGTTTGCAGTGAGATTGATGTAGTTTCCCTCTAATTTCTGATAACTCATTGTGAGTTCCTTGAACTTCCTGATAATCATTGTTTTGAACTCACTATCTGATAGTTGAGTTGCCTCTCTTTCATTTAGCATTTTTCCTGAGGCTTCCTCGTTTCCCTTCAATTGGGGGTTGTTTCTTTGTTTTCTCATTGTTCATGGGTTTCTTCTTGTTTCTTAAATTGATCTGTTCTGATTCCCTGTAATTATGGTGTGAACTTCTGTGGTAGAATATTTGTGAGATTCAGTTGTGCAATCTCCTTCGTGTATCCTGGTGTTCACAGCTTTCCCCTACTCTTTTTTTGTGATCAGTTGGAGGAGTAAGGCAAAATGGTTTAAAACAGCAAGACAATGTACTATGATATTTACATTAGCAGCCAGTAGAGAAGAGATGGGTTATCCTTTGGCTCCTTATAGTGTTAACCGTGATCCTCCACCCCACTATCCACATTTTAGAAAGGATGGAAAGAGGGTAAGACTCTTATTGGGGATGAGAGAATTGTTAGTTGGATCTAGAAAGCTGTGAGGCTGTGGGAGGTCAGATTCTAAGGTAGGGTTGGATTAAAGATTAGTATATAGGAGTAGTGTGTAAAAGAATAGAGACAACCCCCACAATAGTACAGTTCAGAAAATTGCAAAGTGGGCTGAGATCAGGTAGGGGATATTGAGTAGTATCTATAATTGTATGTACTACGTCTTATTGATAGTAATAGTAAAGTGACAGTTTCTGGCAGGATCAATGAGATCTAGATAACTAGAATAAAGAGTATAGAACCTTGAGAGGTGTATTAATGGAACACAGATGAAGGATAGCAAATTATCAACACATTGTGACTGAGACACCAGGGGGAACCTATCAAATGACAGTATAACCAGCCAAGCAAAGAAGATTATACAGAAAGAAAAAGGATACCAAAATATTATTAAAATAAAAAATGTCGGAAAAGTGAGAAAAAAGATAATACAAATTTACAGTAACTTGCAAGATTAAAAAAAAGGGAAAGAAAAAGCAGAAGATGGAGTGCAGGAGAGATAAATTTGGAGTGGAAAGAATAATATTAGGATGAATGAAAGAGAAACATAAGGGATTGCGAGGTATAAAAATAAGAATTGAAAAATGAAAGGTCACATAAAACACAAGATAAAATCAATCGACCAACAACAGCCATAAAAAACAAAACAAAACAAAACAAAAAAAAACCTGTTGTTGGTTTCTAACTGTCCAGACCAGTTTTTTCTGATCTTGCTGGCTTCAGCTGGCTGAGGGACCTTTGAAATGCTTCTCTCTCTCCCAGCCAGATCTCAGCCAGTCTGTCAGGTACCCTGGGCGCTCCCGAGAACACTCGCCCTCCGGAGCTCACTGCCAGGTTCTTCTGGACTCCAGGGTCCTGCAGGGTTCCAGCTCTATGATCTCAGGAGGCACCCAAGATGTTTTGGGATTCACTGCACCATCCCCTGGGAATCGTAAAGGGCACGCCCCTCCACCAAACTTTTGAGATTCGGGCTCTAGCATCGCCCTAAGTGCCGCGCCGCGACCCTTCCGGATTCACAGCACGAGAGTCAGGCTTCCCGATGGGGCGCGAGCCCAGCCCTTCCCGGCTCTGTGTTTTCCACCGAGCGGCACTCCCACTGGGCTAGGGGTGCGGGGGCACTTCCTGGCCGCCCCTGGTCATGTCAGCTGGAGGCCCTCACTTCTCCCAGATCTCTGGGCGGGTGTTCATAGTCCCTGGGAGATTTTTTCCCAGTCCAACTGGCCAATCTGTTCCTTCAAGCAACACATTCTCCCCTGGAGTTGCTCAACCCCCATATTCGGGGGAGGGAGCAGCGACTCCCCTCTCCCGGGAGCCCTGAGGCAGACCCGGGAGCACCGGGCCTGGGTACTGCACACCCCTAGACCCCGAGCTGATCCCTGGGTCCCTTTTGTCCTGAAGCAGTCTCCTTACCTTCTGGTTTTTCAGTGACTGCAATAATTTTTGGATGTTCTGCTTTCAAAAGTGATTCGGTAACCTAGTCCACTTGCTCTGTCTCTCCACCGATCCGTGAGTTTCCCTCCTCTTCACAGAAGCTGAGAAACACGCTGCCTAGAGTAAATCCGCCATCCTCCCCGAGTCCAAAATGAATAAAATGTTTAAAAAAAAATAAATGAAACGGTTCTAAAAATAAATTCCATTAAAAATAGTTTTAATTTGCCCACATTTCTATATCCTTGGGCTTGTTGAATTCCTGGTTCCGTCCCATGAATTCAAAGTCAGATTACACCATAATGTTCTCTCCACACTTGCTCAATCTCATCGACCTTGTGACCACCTCTTAGTTACAATATCTGCGTTTCTTTATCAGCAGGCAACTCCCCCAAAAACCTGGGGAGATTAATGATTATTTTATCTTTACTATAAAAGGTGATCTCTCGGCAGCTGCCACAGATTCTCACAGTGGCTGCAGCTGGAACTCTTAACACCAGGTTCAAAGAGCTCACCGTAATGTCAGATGGGTACATGTGGTTTGAAGGGGGTACCTTTCCCTGTCGTGGGTTACACACTGGAGCACCTGAGAGCAATGCAGAATTTTGTGTTTAAGGACGAAGATGGCTTAATACTGTCTTTCCCCAAATCAGGTAAGGGAGCGGATTAGATGCCAAGACAGACCGTGGCTGCATCCTTCATCTGTTCACGAGTATTTTCTCTTTGTCAGCCCAGATTCAGGGCTCTGGGGACAAAAGCTGGGCCCTGGTACCAACCGCAGTCAGAGAAACAGAGTTAGCCAGGCAGTTACACAGTAAGAGGAGTGTCCAGAGCGGATAATGGAAGGTGGTAGAGAACCCATATGAGCAAATTCTGAGACAGATTTGGGGGCTTGAAGCAGAAGGTGATGACCAGAGTCCTCCAAAGTCCTTACAGGAGAAATAGGAAAGGAAGGAATTATGTGAGATGATGGGTCTGTTAATTAGCTTGACTGTGGTAATCATTTCACAATGTGTACACACACACACACACACACACACACACACACACACACCAAATCATTGCATTGTACTCTTTAACTGTGTACCATTTTCATTGGTCAGGTATATCTGAGTGAACCTGGGAGGCAGGAGTGAATAAACACATCTACCAGAGACAAAAAATAAGTAGGTAAAAAAAAGCATCTAAATCGACATGGAAATAACTGAATATGAAACTATTTCGTGGAAAGGGGTATTTTCAGTAAAGGCATCAGCATGGACAATGGGCAGGAACTGGAAAAGAGCCTGGCCACTTTGAGGGACTGAAAGGGTGTGGATCGTGTCTCTAGGAGCAGGATGGCCAGCAGACAAAACTACAAGATGGGCAAGGACTGAGGCTGGAGACACTGGAAGAGGCGTAGTAGTGAAAAGTCAAGGGTGATGGATTTAGGCAAATAGCCCAAAGGTGAAAGCAACCTAATGTCCACTGGCAGGTGAATGGATGACCAACATGTGGTCTATACACACAATGGAATATTCTTCATCCTGGAAATGGAACAAAGTTCTGACACAGGCTACAACTTGGGTAGACTCTGAGGACATTATGCTAAGTGAAATACACCAGTGACAGAAGGAGAAAGACCATCTGATCTACTTCCATGAGCTGTGGAGAGTAATTGAACTCTAAAAGAGAAAGAGGGTGGGGGGGGGGTGCCAAGAACTGGGGGGAAGGGAAAATGGAGAGTTGTTGTTTAATGGGCACAGAGTTTCAGTCTTGCCAAATATAAAGTTTCTGGAGATTGGTTGCGTACCAGTGTGAATATGCTTAATGCCACTGGACTGTGCTCAAAAACAGTTAGGGAGCATGGTTTATGTGACAGTCTATCATGGTATTTTTTAAAATTCAGATTCGCTCTGGCTGCTGTGGCTGAGCAGATTGAGCATGGGCTGTGAACCAAAGGGTCACCGGTCGATTCCTAGTCAGGGACCTATGCCTGGGTTGTGGTCCAGGTCCCCAGTAGGGGGTGTGCAAGAGGCAACCATGCATTGATGTTTCTCTCCCTCTCTTTCTCCCTTCCCCTCTCTCTAAAAATAAATCAATAAATTCTTTAATAAAATAAAATAAAAGTCAGATTCCAAAAATGAGTGCCCATCCTTGTTTTCTTCTTTATCCAGGAACAAACTGGTTGATTGAAATTCTCTGCCTGATTCACTCCAAGGGGGATCCCACGTGGATCCAATCTGTGCCCATATGGGAACGCTCTCCCTGGGTAGAGACTACGAGTGGATACGAAGTCCTGAAGGGCAGGGAAGGCCCACGCCTCATCTCCTCCCACCTCCCCATCCAACTCTTCCCCCAAGTCTCTCTTCGAGTCCAAGACCAAGGTCAGTGCACAGTGGTCAACGATGTGTTTGATTAATGCTTTTCTAATGTGAAAGTGCCTAGGAATCACCTAGGGATCTGGATGAGGTGCAATCTCATCCAGTAGGTCTGGGGGGGGGTTGGGGGGACCTGAGATTCTGCATTGGGCAATGCCGCAGTCCAAACCAGAAGCAAAGCAAAACGGTAATGCCAGAGTCTGAGAAAACGATGTTTTCAACCCAAGTGGAATTTATAACGATGTTACATACTAGATAACCTGCCTCTTGTTGCTGTAAAAATTAATTAGCCCATCTCGCCCTGGCTGGTGTGGCTCAGTGGATTGAGCACAGGCCTGCAAACCAAAGGGTTGCTGGTTGAATTCCCAGTGAGGGCACATGCCTGGATGGTGGGCCAGGTCCCCAGCAGGGGGCGTACGAGAGGCAACCACATATGGATGTTTCTCTCCCTCTCTCCCTCCCTTCCCCTCTGTCTAAAAATATATAAATAAAATCTTTAAAAAAATAATTAGCCCATCTTAATTAAATAAATGCCTCCTGCCACTCATATAGAAGCAGCAGACATAGAGCTGGCCACTTGGGAAGCAGAAAATTCATAAAGGAAGGCTAAATGCAGGGTGATTGCTCCAGCACCAGACCGGATTTACTCAGCATGGCGTCTACCTAGATGCAGCTGTCTGTTGAGCTTAGCAGCCACACGAGTCTCTTATGGGGCTAGCAGATGCCCCCAGAAGGGATCAGGGAAATCTTAGCACATCTCAGATGATGTTTAGAAACACACTTACCTGGAAGGTGCTAATTGGTTTGTGATTTTCTTTTTGAGAAGTGTTTTGTGCTTAAATTAGATTGTCAAGCTTAGGATAATATTCTCATCTTGGAAATTTCACCATGTGTCACAGCACAGTGAAGATTTTTTTTTCAATTTTATTTTTCCAGTTACAGTCAGTGTTCAATATTATATTGGTTTCAGGTGTACAGCATAGTGGTTAGACATTTGTGTAATTTATGATGTGATACCCCAGTGAGTCTAGTACCCACCTGGCACCATACATAGTTACTACAATATATTGACTAGATCCCGTAACCTGTACTGTACATCCCCAAAGAAATCCCAAAACACTCATTTGAAAAGACATACGCATCACTGTGTTCATTGCAGCATTATTTCCAACAGCCAAGATAGGGGAGCAGCTTAAGTTCCTTCAGTAGAAGATTGGTAAAGAAAATGGAGTTTTTGTTTCAGCCCATCACTTCCTGGGCTTATTTATCACACCCCTACTGCAGAGTTGAACGTATTCACAATGTGAGCCCTCGGTGTTTTTTCAATCCCTGCATGGGGAAACTGAGGCCTAGAGAGAGTTGCAGCCTGGAATCATGTCACCAAGAAAGTGGGTGCAGAATCCAAGGTATACCTTCAATATTCAAATGCCAAGGTTCTTGCAGGTGTGTGTGTATTTGCGCTAATCTGCAGTATTAGGTTTTCAAATCTTTACATGTGTACACGGTTGGGTGGTCACCTTCCAGATGGTGATTCAGGGTGTTTTTGCTCCCCTGCGACATTCCCTCCACACCTTCCCAGTCAACACCCATCCACAGGGGGGACCACTCCGCCAACTTATAACTCTATAGATTCGTTTTGCTCATTCTTTTTTTTTAATCATCACCCAAGAATATGTTTATTGATTTTTTAATGATTTTATTTTATTTTTTTTAGAGAGAGGGGATGGGAGGAAGAAAGAGAGGGACAGAAACACCAGTGTGGGTTGCCTCTTGCACGCCCAGGGAGACCTGACCCACAACCCAGGCTGTGCTCTGACTGGGAAGAGAACCAGTGACCCTTTGGTTTATATGCCAGCACTCAATCCACTGAGCTACACCAGTCAGGGTTCCATTTTTATGAAGATAAGGAAAGATGGGAAACATTCATGCTTTCATTTTTCTTTTTAAGGTGATTTATCTCATCAGAAATCCAAGATGTACTCTTGTGTCTGGTTATTTTTTCTGGAGTATCTCCAATTTTGTTAAGAAACCAGAGTCACTAAAACAATATTTTGAATGGTTCACCCAAGGAGATGGTGAGTGCATGTAAAATATGGTGGCTGGAAGATTGCCGGCGTCCTTCATCAGACCTCGTTCTGAATCCAGCCCGCTATCCCTACCTCTCCCTCACCTGTGGGGCAGAGGGTCTGTCCCCACTGGAACCCACAGATTCTGATCCCACAGACTCTCACAGAGCAGCACATACCCAGCCAGCCTTTCAGCTGGTCCCATCACGAACCAGCCTAGCTGTCCAATACACATGCAGAGCACATCTGTGGCTTTCTGAAAGCCTGCTTTTCATTGGCCTCCTGGACAACACTATCCTGACTTGCCACCATTTACTTATTTACTCATTCATGTGTTTATTTTTAATCTCATTTTTAGAAAGAGAGAGAAACATAGATTTGTTGTTCCACTTATTGATGCCTTCATTTCGTTGTTTCTTGTTTGTGTCCTGACCGGGGATCAAGCCCACAACCTTGGCATATCGGGACAACTCTTTAACCCACAAGCTATCACCCAGAGCACTGCCAGCATTCTTCAGCTGCATCCTCTTGAAACTCTTTTTTTCCTCTTGTCCTATGTCTCAAAATGTATCTTGATCCTTCTAATTACGCAGTTTCTAGGCTTTCCCAGATACTTGAAATTGTGCAACTTTTCCTGAAACTACAGGATGAGTCCCATAATTCTGCTGTGAGATGTCTCCCTAGCTTCAGACCTGTTTCTCTAAAGCCCATGGACACCTGCCCTGGAGGGAGCCACAGGTAGCTCTAATACAGTGTGTTCAAGATGGAGCACGTGGTCCCCAGGCCCCAAACTGCTCCTACTGCCTCTGTAGCTCATTAGATAAATAGAGCAATCCCTTCTCCAAGGGCTGGCGTGAGTCTGATGCTTCCACGTGCCATATTTTCCCCATCCCACCTCCCCATGCCTTCCCCTCTGCCCTTGACCTAAATCCCACAATCTTGGTGAGTGTCTTCATTCTGGTCTCTGCCACAATGTGTCTGTGTTTAGTGAAATCTTCCTTCTCAGCACCATGTAAAATACCATCCCTCCCCACCTCTGTAGCATTCTCTTTCTTCCCTTAGCCCTCAGTGCCAACAAGCGTGTATTCTAATGGTGTGTCTGTTCCCTGTGTCTCCCCATGAAAGTGATTTCTTCAATTTTATCATTATTGAGCCAGGGCCCTAGAACGGTGCTTGTCACATGGTCAGCAGCGAATACACCTTTGTTAAATAATGAGTATTTATTTGCCATCTCTCTCCCGGGTGCTTCATTAAATAGCATCGCTGTTACTTCCCACCCAGGTTAATCTGACAGACTCAGTGGTGCCCCCACCACATGCCCTTTGGACCTTCTAGGCACTGTTGTGGCAATCACCTGTGACACGGGGACAAGTCCACAGTCCCTGGATTGTTTGCCTGCAGCGTAAAGTTCAGTGTTCAAAGCCCACAGGCGTGTTTCGTATTGAGCTGCTCCTGGCTGAACACTTCAGCTCTAAGTTCTGCTTTCCTTCAGATTCCTCTTTCGGGGGAGGGGGAGGCAACACCCCCTCATCAATGCTGTGTTTGATCTTGCCCTTTGATGGAGAAAGGAGTCTGGATGGGCCTTCCACTGACCCTGGGAATATGGAAGTCCAATCAATAGCCCTGAGAACCTCACCCCTATCTCGACATCTTGCTTCTCTGCACCCTAAAACTCAGCACACAGGTCTCTCTTACCCAGTTAACACCAGAATCTTTATTGTTATCACCTAATTCCAATATCCTGAGTTGTCTACAGCACTGTAGAAGGTGAACCAAGCCTCTGGGAATTTTAGGCCCAGGAAGCAGTGTCCTTAGACCCAGGTAGCAGGGGAGCCTGCTCTGGACCCTGGGGCTTCACACGAGCCCTGGACCATACACAGTAACAAAGCCCGAGAGGCCCTCCTCCTCCAGATGCCTTTCCTGTGGGGCTCCTAGAGTTCATGACCCTTTCATCGACCATGCTCTGGGAACCCTGGGTCCCAGAATTCCCTGTGCAAAAGACCCCACGCTACTTTCTACACCGAGCACACCTTGATGGTCTGTGTGGTCCTCTGTCAGGTGCCCCCTGCCCCTCAAGGCAGACATACCAGCAGCACCGCTGTGTTAGCTTTGGCCAAGGGGAGGATCGAAAGGGATGAACTAGAATTGCTGTTTGTAAGCATCACTGAAGTCGTTCATTGTTTTGGTCAAATGCTTCTTCCAACATTTTGTCAGTGCTGAGTTAAAAATTAAATGAGGTGTTTTGAGCTTAAAACTATTGGGAATAATGTATTTCTGTTACATGGGTGCATGACTTTCTTTCCAGTGTATAAATCAGAGTGTAGAACTGCTGAGGCATAGTGAATATGAATTTTCCACTTTAAAAGACAATGAACTGTTTTCTAGAGTGATTGTGTCAATTGTATATCCTGACGATGGAGGCATTACTGTAAGCATTGATTACTATAAATGTCCCACCAATAGCATATGAGCGTGCACACTTGTTACATCATATCTTCAGTGACACTTATTGTTGTTTGTATTTTTTATGATTTTTATTGTGATAATTATACAGAATAATTAGTGGAGAAATGGCATGTATTACTTAGTTTATTCTTCATTTATAAGGATAGGCTTTTGTTTACCTTCCCCCTTACCTAAAGCTTTTCAGAGGTCTTAAATGATCCTTTATGATTACTTAAATGAAAAGCTTAAACTCTTTTTATAGAGGTATTTTATTTCTTCTTAGATTAATGACATCTTTAAATTAGATTTTTCAGTTGTTTTGTGCCTGATTTGGAGGAATGTAAATGACTTTGAATGTTGATTGGGGATTCAGCAATCTGAAAGAACTCTCTTCTATTTTTTCAAGATTTTATTTATTTATTTTTAGAGAGAAGGGAAGGGAGTGAGAAAGAGAGGGAGAGGAACATCAATGTGTGGTTGAATCTCATCTGCCCCTACTGTAGTCCAGGCCCACAACTCAGGCATGTGCTCTGACTGGGAATCAAACCCGTGACACTTTGGTTCATAGGCAGGCATTCAGTCCACCGATCCACACCAGCCAGGGCTGAATAAACTCTTCTTAATCCTAATTGTTTCCCTGTAGGTTCTCTTTGGTTCTCTAGGAAGTGCAAATATAACCTTCCAGTAATGACTATAATCTGAATTTCGTTTTTTTTTAAGAAATAGAGTGAGTGAGGAAGGGAGAATTAGAGGGAGAGAAATTTCAATGTGTGAGAGTTGTACTGATCAGTAGCTTCTCACAGGCCCCCAGATGGGGACCTGGCTCACAACCCAGGCATGTACCCTGACTGGGAATCGAACCAGCGATCTTTTGGTTCACAGGCCAGCACTCAGTCCACTGAGCCACACCAGCCAGGGCCCTCTTCAATTTTTTTTTTGAAGTTTAAGAAGGATGGACATTAATGCTTCATTTAATATTTTATAGAGTTGACCAGGAAACCATCTGGTCCTGGGCTTTCCTTTGTTGGGAGATCCGGCTTACTGATGCAGTCTCCTTACTTGTCATTGGGCTATTCAGATTTTCTGCTTTTTCATGACTCAGTTTTGGCAGGTTGTGTGATACATTTCTAGGAATTTACCCATTTCCTCTAAGTTATCCAATTATTTGGCGTGTGGTTGTCCATGACAGTCCCTTACAGTCCTTCATGTTTACGTGGCATTGGCTACAATGTCCCCTCTTTTATTTATCTGAGTCTGCTCTGGTCTTCTCTTAGTCTAGCTAAAGGTTTGTCAGTTTTGTTTATCTTTAAAAAAAACTGCTCTCATTTTTGTTAATCTGTTCTAATGTTTCCTATTTTTCTGTTCTCTGGTTTTGTTGTTTTCTTCTTGATGCATAAAAGTGGCTTGTCTCTTTGAGATCTTTCTTTTTCTTCATGCAGGAATTTATCACTCTAAACTCCTTTCCTCAAGCTGCTTTTGCTTCTTCTTATACATTTTGGTATGTCATGCTTCCTTTTTTTGTTTTACAACTTTTTTTCAAGATTTAAAATTTTTTCCCTTTTATTTCTTGAGCCACTGGATCCTTTCTCCTGGATCCACTTTATTTGTTCATAAACTGTAACAGAAATTAGTTCTCTTGTGACAAAAGTGGTAAATTCCCTCAGCATTTTGCCTGACAGTGCCTTTTCTTTGTGCTCATTTTCAAGTGACAGGTTCACTGAGTAGAATTCCCCACTGCCCTTTGTGGTCAACAAGGGCTCTGAATAAAGATTCAGGCAAAAGAGAAAAAAGGGCTTGGGCATGGTAGACAGCCATTAAAAACTAGACAATAGTTCAGATATGGAGGGTGGAGTGGGAAGACTTACCTCCTGTGGAGATATGCATGAGTGCTCAACCTGTTGGCGTCTCTGGGCTGCAGTGGAAGAAGAAGAGTTATCTTGGGCTCTTGGGCTACACATCAAATACATTGTGGCATGTAATCACCAAAAAAAGCCCTCATGTTTTAAGTAAATTTACAGTTTTGTGTTGGGCCTCATTCAGAGCCATCCTGGGCCCTAAGTGGCCTGTGGGCCACAGGTCAGACTCCTGTATAGGGAAGGACAATTTTCAAGAAGGCACATGTGAGGATTTCCCTCACAGATGAAATCTCAGGTTGAAGAACCAAACCCAGCCTCAGAAAAAATTATTATCAATAAATCATCCCCTGGTCTCTAGGAAAGCTCAGTGCCAGGGCGGGGGTGTGAGGGGGGCTTTCGCCAGCAAAATCCCCCGGGGGCCTCTGTAGATGGAAATAAACAGTCCGAAAAGGGGTGGTGATTCCCTCTACCAGAGAACGCCCAGAACCCTTCTCGGACACGGCTTTTATTAGGATCAGAATGTGCAGAGACACAGCACACATGCACAGCTTACCCATCAATGTCCAACAGGCTGTAGTCAAAAAAACTAACCCTGTCTGTAGATAGCAATTGAAGAAACACAGAAATCTTTTCAGGATGGGGTCTGCAAGACATGCAGGTGCCAGATGGATGTAAAGGCATATATCACGAAGTAGGGAGTTTCACTCAAGCATCTGGTTTACACTAACAGGGCTTATCACTGAGCAGAGCGGGTTTCAGAGGACAAACATGTACATTTCAGACCTGATTCCCATGGGACCCTCAGTGTTAGAATCCAGTCATGCCTGCCACCTGCGTTATGACCTGGTTTTCCAGGGACACTTACCAGCCCCTTTCAGAGCTTGCTCTCTCGGGGCTACAGTCTCCGAAACCACACCGAGTGGTCCCCAACAAGGGGGGAATTAGAAAGAAAATCTTAAGCCACAGGAAAGAGAGATCATTTCCAAAGGAACAATAATTGGCATGGCAACAGTGAAAGCAAGAAGACACAAGAATATCCAGGGCACTGAGATTTACCCATCAACCCAACATTCTGAACGCTGTGCAGAGTCAGGGCAGCCAGAATGCCATTCCTCCGACCATGTGGCTCTCTGGCGAGGTCTCCTCAGGAGGCCCTGGTAAGTGGGGGCAGAGCCTGCTCTGGACGAGCTCTGCTCACACAACGTAAATGCCTGATGATGGGTAACAACTCTCCACCTCTACACTCACCCACTCACTCAGCAAATACTTGTATATGGGCCAGATGTCGTGTGAGCAAGTGGCCCCACAAGAGTGAACCTACCAGGGCGTGCCTGCCTTCACACAGCCAGTCACGCACCCGCTCTCTTTGCTCCCACCCCGCAGTGGCATTTGGGTCGTGGTTCGACCACGTTCATGGCTGGATGTCCATGAGAGGGAAGGAGAACTTCTTGATAGTGAGTTATGAAGAGCTGAAGCAGGTAACTACTGTTCTTGTGCTCAGCACACCATCTCAACACCGTCTTCACTTCCTCTACTTCCATCCATTACTCTGTGTCTCTTTTCTTCTCAAAGTCAAGCCCTAGGGAGGGTCCTTAGAAATAAAAGGAGCTCCCTGGTCTTCATTGTCCTGCTCCCAGTCGGCACCCCGAAAGCCCTGTGCTCTCTTCCTCCGTGTCTTCTTTGTTTCATTTGCTATTGTAAGAGCTATTTTGTGCATTCAGACTAAGTACAGTGGCTTATCCTCACACTCACAGCTGGTTCTAAACTTTTCAGGGGCAGGACACACTCGGTGCTACCGATAGCTGGGAGGAGATGGAGGAACAGGAAGGGGCTGGGGAGAAGTCAAGTTGGGTGCCAGAGATGTGTCCACCTGCCTGGCAACCCAACCTGATGGATGGAGGGAAAAGGAAGTCATGAAATCAGTCTGTATAATGACTCAGACAGGCCAAGGGCTGGACTCACTGCTGATGGGCAGGAAACGCTGTCAGATGAAGTTCAAGCCAGTAAGAGTGACTGAGCCACTGAAGGAAGACCTTGTCCTATTAGCGGGATCTTGGGGAAAAGAGGAGAAACCACCCACACAGGCTTGTGCTTCTGTCTGACATTCGTCACTGCCCTCTGGGCACTGCTGTCCAATCCTCTGTGCTTTCCACATGAATTCCATTTCACCCAGAAGTCTTTTGTGACTGGCTTAGTAACTTCAGGGACACACGTACACACCTTCTTGGAGTTATACTTTCAAGCCACAAAATAAACTTTTATTATTGTCATGGCTACAGTTGTGCTTTTTGTTGTTATTAGCACGTCAGCTCATGGAACGGAAAAAAAAGTTTAAGGCCCTGTCACTCTAAGAGGAAGGTCTATGATTCAAAGCAAAGTATCATTATTATTAAAATCCATTTTTAATAATAATATTAATTTTTAGTACCATGTGCCAAGTTCTAATTATTGAAATAACATATAAGAAGGTCTTGGACAACTACAAGATCAAGTTGAATGGAAGTCGGACAACTGTGGAATTGAAGAAACCACATCCATCCAGACTAGTAGGAGAGGCACAGATGCAGAATGGGTTGGCCCCATATCCACGTGGATAAAATCTCAGGAGAGGTATCTCAGGAGTGAGAAGTCCCAGACCCACAGTGGGCCCCCCAGCCCAGGATTCCAGTGCCCACAACTTCCAGCTGCGAAAACCAGTGGGGACTGAGTCGGTGGAGGAGGCTGCTGGAGCCCAAAGCAGCTCCTCTTGGGGACCCACATGTGGACTCATCTACTCAGACTCACTCCCTCTGAGCTCCAGAGCTGGCATCTTGAAGGGCATTGGTGGCACACAGGGAGAGACCAAAATGTCTGGCATCAGGACAAGCAGAGGCCATTGTCCCCTTGCTAAATCCTCCTCCCACAGAGCCAGCAAGCTGGTGGCGTATCTGAGACTCCATCAACCTGGCTAATGTTGCGTGACCCACATTGGAGATCCACAGAGGTTCTACCCCACCCAACTTACAGGCCCAGCCAAGCTGCTTTTCTGTAAGAATGGCCGGTCTTGGTTCCTAAATCCCATTGAACAAGCAATAGCTGACTTCAGTGAGCCCTAATGGCAGCCAGATTGGGGTCACAGCTTGGCTTCACCTGGGAATCTCCAAGCCTAGCACAAGTGGCAGTCATCTCAGATTGTTTTATAGCTCAGGCAGGGTTGAGCCCAGGCAAAACACAGGTGGGGGCTGACCTTGGCCTGCACCACCCAGGGAACCCCAGGGCCAGCACACCCAGTGGACAGCTACAGACCATGTTGGTGTACCACAACCCTGCCCCTACACAGCTGATCCTCCACAGAGGGCAAACTTTGGTGGTCAGTGGTCACAGCTTGCAGCCGACTCACCTGAGTAAATCCCTCCCATTGACCTGCCAACAGCAACCAAGACACAACTACAAGAGGAAGGTGTTCTCAGCCCACACAAAGGGTGTACCTCAAGTACCCAGCTTAGGTAATAGGGGAGGCTGTGCCACTGGACCCTATAAGACACCTACTTTAGGCCACACTACCAAGACACAGAGTCAAAGCAGCTGTACCTAATACATAGAAACAAATACAAGGAGGCTGCCAAAATGAGGAAACAAAGAAACATGGCCCAAAAGAAAGAACAGTACAAAACTCCAGAAAAAGACCTAAAAGAAATGGAGATAACACTCAGTCTAGCAGACGCAGAGTTCAAAACACTGTTTATAAACATTCTCAAGAAATTTAGTGAGGACCTCAACAGCATAAAGAAGACCCAGTCCGAAGTGAAGGGTACACTAATTAAAATAAAGGACACTTTACAGGGAAACAACAGTAGAGTGGATGAAGCTGAGAATCAGATCAGTGATTTGGAACATAAGGAAGGAAGAAAAAATACACCATGCAGACCAGCAAGAAAAAAAAAGAATCCAAAAAAATGAGGACAGTGTAAGTAGCCCCTGGGACAACTTGAAGATGTTCAACATTCACCTCATAGGGGTGCCAGAAGGAGAAGAGAAAGAGCAAGAAATCGGAAATCTATCTGAAAAAATAGTGAAAGAAAGCTTCCCTAAGTTGGTGAAGGGAATAGACATACAAGTCCAGGAAGTACAGAGAGTGCCAACAATGATGGATGCAAAGAGGCCCACTCCAAGACACAATATAATTAAAAGACCAAAATTTAAAGATAAAGGGAGAATCTTAAAAGCAGCAACCCTTAGTTACTGGAAGGGTTCCAGCTGTGGGGGGGGGTGGGGAAGAGGTGGGGGGAATAAGAAAAGCAAATAGGTAGTTACAGAACACCCATGGGGATGTAAAGTACAGTGTAGGAAATGGAGAAGCCAAAGAACTTACATGCACGACCCATGGACATGAACAATAGTGAAGTGATTGCCTGAGGGAGTGGAGAGCACTGGGTAGAGGGAGGCAAAGGAGGAAAAATCAGCCAATTTTAATAACACAATCAATAAAATATAATTTAGAAAAAGATCTTGTAAATCTCTATGTGGTATTCAATTGTTACTTATGACAAACCGCATTACTTGATGGGACATTCAGGATTTGAAATCAATCCCTTACGTCTTTGTCAAGCCCTCCCTAAACCTCTTCTTGCTCATTCCTCATCACAATTGTCCAGAAGACTTTCTAAAGGTCTTGTTAGAAAACCTATGTCCTGTATCTTCCCAAGAAGGTGTTCTGAATTCAGTTACACTGGGACATTCATGTTGACTGCGTCTTTCACATAATTGTGCTCTTTCTTTATTACCTCCTTCCCTTTCTTCCTCCTGGTGGCGTGCAACTCAATACTTCTCGTTTCTGTGCTTTTCCTCCCTCCCTCTCCCTCCTTCTGTTCCTCATCCTGTCATTTCTCCTTCTCATTGCCTTTCCTACGCCCTTTCCCTTTCCTGTCCTCTCTTTGGTATTTTCTTCTTCTAGGACACAAGAAACACGATACAGAAGATCTGCCAGTACCTGGGCAGGATGTTAGAACCAGAGGAAATGAACTTAGTCCTCAAGAATAGCTCCTTCCAGGTCATGAAGGAAAACAAGATGTCCAATTACACGCTCCTGCCCAACTGGCTTTTAGATGGGAAGAATGGCTCACTTATGCGAAGAGGTAAGTGAAAATGGCCCTCCTTCAGGGCACATCAGAGTGTTCAAAGGGCATCCTTGTGCATGCAGCAGGGCACCAACTAGGGAGTGTTTGAACTTGTCAACTTTAACTGCTCATCTCCCAGAGAACTCACATGATCTTTTTTTTTTAAGATTGTATTAATTTACTTTTCAATAGAGGGAAGGGAGGGAGAACGGGAGAGAGAGAAACATCATGTGAGGTTGCCTCTCACGTACCCCCTACTGGAGACCTGGCCCGCAACCTATACATGTACCCTTACTGGGAATCGAACCAATGACCTTTCAGTTCCCATGCCTGCACTCAATCCACTGAGCACACCAGCTGGTTCACTCCCAGATTTTAAGGATTGAGAATTCGCCTCTTTGTCTTGATGCTCTGACCTTCTGGCCCACTGGGATAGTGGCCCACATCCCACTCATCTGCCCTGAGTGGCAGCACCCACCGATGTGTCATCTTTGGAATCATTTACATTCTTCCTCCCATGGATCATCCTGGATGGTCTTGAATGGCAGGACTCTGGGAAAACAGGCTCCTCCTATCCCGGGCAGTGGACACTCTTCATTCATCTTCAGCCCAGAGATATGGACGTGATTACTCATTCACCACAGTGTCTGACAGTAACACAGGCTCACGGCTCAGCAGAAGGTCTCTCCTCTCTCGTTCTTTCCAGCTGAGTCATTGTTTATACAGTTCTTTGTGCAGGCTAGTACTTTGTGCTAACTCAGCACTGGAGCAGCACCAGCATGACCATCTCCATGCCTGTCCTCACTTCTCTGGTCAGTCCCAGGGGGCAGGTCGGCAGGCATGGCGAATTTGCCTGGGCACTGCTTGAAGGGCAGACACCCCCATGCCAAAATCAGCGAGAGAAAATCTGAATGGCCTGCAAAGTCAGATGACCATTCCAGGTCTAATCAATTTCCTCCAAGTGTCTATAGGCCGTATCAGTACTTGGAAAAGAGACCCCCTGATGAGAGTATATGAGGCACCCTGCCCGGAGTAGCTAAGTGGATTGCAGGGTTGCTTGGTTGCGGGCCAGGTCGGGCTCCATCTGGGGGTGTGTGAGAGGCAACCGAGGGCAACTGATGTATCTCTCGAACACAGATGTTTCTCTCCCTCTCTTCCCCCCTCCCTTCTCTTCTCTCTAAAAACAAATAAATAACACCTTTTTAAAAAAAATCTGCAGGGTTACTAGATTTATCATGATCACACCATGATATATAGAAATGTCTTAAACTTGAAACAAATATTGTATGCCAACTATACTTAAATTTTTTGTAATTTAATGAACTCTGACCTGCTAGATTGAGATGGTCTTGGGACCCGTGGTCCCTTTCTTCTTTCTGATTTCTCCCTTTTGGAGTGGGACTGTCTCGCTGGTGCCTTTCACACCACTGCATTCTGGAAGCAGCCGACTCATCTGATTCCTCGTGTTCTCCTGCACAGAAACATTCTCTCAGCTGACCTTTCATACGGGGCAGCCATGTTGAATTTCTGGAGATTCTGGCTGCTCAAGAGCTGGATGTGGCCCATGAAAGTCAGGTGTTTTGTGGAGGACACACAAGCATAAGAAATCGATTATGATACAAATTGTTCTAACAATGCAGCCGATGAGCCCAAGAGGGACAGCAGGTGTTTATAAGGTAGCAATTATTATTCAGACATTCTGCTAAATTATTTCTATGCCCACAAGTGTATAATATCTATTACTGGTTTCTATGTAATATATATTGTTCTGTTGTATGTTAATTTCACTAATGTATTAATGTAGTTAATATATTAATTAATGCCTACGTATTCATTTATATGACACGCAAAATAGTAATATCATCATAAATTAAAGGGGTGCCTTCTGGTGTCAAAATCTGTTGCTTTGAATCCCCATCTATTGCTTTCTAACTGTGTAGCCTCTCATGGTCTCTCCTTCCTCATCCGTAACACGGAGGTGATGATAGCACATCCCTGACTCTTTTCATCGTCCTCCCACACACATCTGAGTGCACGCTATGTGCCTATGACTGGGAAGCACTAAGCCTTTGGCAATTCAAAAAGAAAAGTTTATGACTTTCTAAAATACACATTGGAGATACATGCCATACACACACACAGACAAACACACAGGAAAAACATAGCATGACACACAGGGTAAGTGTTATGAAGCGAAATACAAAGGAGGGACGGGGGATCAATCATCAGTTCCGAGTGGGATTGTGGGTGGGGGAGAACCTCACTGAGAAAACTGCACTGGAGGGAGGACTTGAAAGAAGCCGGTGGGCCAGACGGGGCCACCCCTGGGCGAGCTACATCCCAGGCAGCAGGAACGGGAACTGCAAGCTGTCTGCGGAGGGAGGGGGGCCTAGCACGTCCAGGGCCAGATCAGAAGACTCAGCTCAAGGGAGGTGAGTGAGCAAGTGGGCGGTCATACGAGGCAAAGTGAAAGACATGAGAGGGGACCGAGTCCCCTGCAGCCCTGTGGAAGCCAGAGCCCACTCCCGAAGTGGCCCCAGAAGTCCTTGGAGAGTCTGAGTGGGAAAAGACAGGAGCTGAAACCACGTCATCTTGATCTCAAGGAATCAAGACGGCCGCCTTGCTGAGACTAACTCAGAAAGGAGAAAGATCCAAAACAGAGAGACTGATTAGAAATCTAATACCCTAACGCAGGCAAGAGAGGGTGTTGGCCGGGCCACGGTGGTAGAAACAGAGGTGGTGAGACAGGGCCAGATTCTAGATGCCTCGGGACAGAGAGCTGCGTTGTCATTGGTGAAGGGGGTGTGTGCAGCGTAGGCTGGGAGAGAGGAGAATATAGGGAATCATTTCCACACAGGGGGGCATGGGAATGCACCACACAGGTATGGCTGCAGGCAGGGGAAGGCCCGCCAGTGACCCATCGGGTATTCTGTGACATTAGCTACAGAGAGGTGCTGGGGACTCGAGACCTGCCCCTCCTTCTGACCTGAGTCTCATTTTATGTTTGTCAGGCACTACTGGGGACTGGAAAAAGTACTTCACCGTGGCCCAAGCTGAAGTCTTTGACAAAATATTCCAGGAGAAGATGGCAGGCCTTCCTGGAGAGCTGTTCCCATGGGAAAGATGTTGAAAGACTTCTATGTCTCCTAAAGATAAATATCTGTTCTCCTGCTGTGAATGGCCAGCCGTGATTGCATAAAACCTGTTCTTTCATCTGGGAGCCTTGAGTGATCAGATCTCTGACCTTTGACAATTTGATTGTTAAAAATTACCAGGACATCTTTAGTTCACAGTGTGGCATCCGAGCTCTTAAAAAACATTGACTACATTCAGAATGATGCAAAATAATATGAATATTACCAAAGCTATGCCAAAAATTGTTTATAAAAATGAGAAATAAAATGACAAAAAAGGCAGCTAAGGTTCCTTTTCTTTCCATTGCCTGTATCCAACTTTTTATTACCTTTGATTAATGCAACCTAGCAGTGTACAATTCCCAGCCTCTCATCATTCTCTTACTCTGTGGAATTTGATCATCAACAATATATAGCATTCATGGAGGCTTTGAAAACGTGGATAAATGGCATACTGTATAATACCTTCACCAACTAACATTTTTACTCTATCTGTTATTTGTGGTTTTCATCCATGTAGATGATATAACTAGTTCAGTGTTTAGTACTGAGACCTATTTTAGTGCCACATGCTCCTGTGGGTGCATCTGGGTTCCTTCCCCATCCATTTTCCCTGTTTATAACACCGCTTTGGCTTAACACATGAGCCATCCTGGAAAATGTTTGAGAGACTAATGGAAAAAGGAAATGGGATCTGCACCACGACGGAAGATAATTGAGCCTTAAAGAAGGAAATTCTGCCATTTGCAGCAACATGGATGAAACTGGAGGACAACACGCTAAGTGAGATGAGCCAGAGAGACAGACGAATAGAGCATAGTTTCACTTGGACAAGGAATCTGAAATAGGCCAACTCCTCGACAGAGAGGTGGCTGCCAAGGGCTAGGGGAGGGGTAATGGAGGTTGCTGTGCTGTGGGTACAAAGTTCTAGCCTCACGAGATGCGTAAACTCTAGAGACCAGCTGTAGAATTGCACCCGCAGGTAACGATACTGTATTGTCTGTCCGTCTACCATTCGTTAAGACAGTAGGTCTCATGTTAAGTGTTTGTGCTCACATGGAATATTTCACTGGGTGATTGTACCAACATTTACGTTATTCATTACATGGTGGATGGGCGATCGGAAAGTTTCTGATTTGGATCATAATCCTTCACGAGCTCTTGAACGTGTCTTTCTGTTCATCTCTCGGTGAACATTCCCGTCAGGTTTATGCTCACAACTGGAACTGCGGGTTCAAAAGACGTGTGTGCACTGGGTTGTTCCCATTTAAATTCCCGCAAGACGTGGTTCCACATCCTTGCCAAATTAGCATTCTCTAGCTGTTTGGTTTTAGCTTTAAATTACACACACAGAAACAAATATAATTGTAGCTCGGTATCTTTTCTCTCACTTGAATGTGGAGGGTCTCTCCCATCCACCCAAGGTCCCCAACTCTGGAGCAGTGGTATGTTGATGCCTCCTGGTGGCCTGGAGGCATTACAACATGGATGTGAACACCCGGTCTCTCCCACTCCTCTGGGTGCTCCTGAATGAACCACATCTTTGATCTGACCCAGGTGTATCTTTTACAGTTTGCTTACAGTAATGACAATGTCAAAATTCCACTAGTTAAGGGCTATTTTCTGCTAGGCATTTTATTTAGCAGAATTTCAAGTACAGAGTCAAACAATGGTTTTTAGTTTTTTTTACAAACAAAATTATGGGCACATACTGTGTTCATTTACCAGAAAAACAACGATGACCATTTTTGAAGATTTCACTTATTTATTTTAGAGAGAGGGGAAGTGAGGGAGAAACAGAGGGAAAGAAACCAATGTGTGGTTGCTTCTTACACGTCCCCTAACAGGGACCTAGCACACAACCCAGGCATGTGCCCTGACTGGGAAGTGAACTGGTGACCCTTTGGTTCACAGGCCCACAGTCAATCCACTGAGTCACACCACCTGGGGCCCATTTTTAAAAATCTTTCTTTTTATGACACTTGATTCTTTTCTTCGTGTGTGTGTGTGAGTGTGTGTGTGTGTGTGTGTGTGTATTCTGCAAAGGGACAGCCAGATACAGCAATTTCGAGTTTTCTTTTCACACACTCAAGTCTTGTTGTAGTCTTAACGATGGCAGTGCTGTATCTAGTGAGTCCACCTGCTCCTCGGCAGAGAATAGACTGAGGTTTGCACGTTGGAATGAACCCCAGAGACCCTGATGAACTGGACAGGGGCATAAGAATGTTGAAACTCCAGGGGACAAAGCTGAGGCCCATGGGATCTGAGATGAAGCCAGTGGCTTACCCCTGAAGGCCCCCTTGTGCTGTGCATCCTCTAGGGAAGAACCTGGCAGACTTGGGGCTTGAAGATGCCAAGTAATATGTCTAGTGGGAAAGGGGGCCCCTGTGAGCAGACTCCAGACGAGGTGTCCAATGCCCACCTTTCCCCCTCTCCAGGCTGAGAAGCCAGCACACCTGGGCTTCAGACAGGGATTCTGTCTAATTCAAAGAGCTCCCCACCCTCTGCACCACTCAAAGACTCCACTCATCACTGCTGGAAAATGGGTGTCACCTCTTTTGTTTTCTCCAGTTCTCATCTTTGCATCCTAGAAACAGGCCCATAGAAACCAAGCTAGAGACTGGTGGTCTGCCTGCCTCCCCGCTCCAGCCCCTGGACATGGCTGCCTTCTCACTCACTGTCTGCACCACACCTGTTCCTCCCGGAGAACAGGACATCCCACATCTCTGGGTGCCGATACATCCCACGCTGTTTCCCGGCTATTTCTGGTGACTCAGGCCAGTTGAATGCAGAGACCCTTCTGGTCTTTTCTGCCCCCTCACTCCTGGGCTCTCCGGATTGATTTCCGTTTGGCTTCCTTCTCCCACCTCAGATCGCCTAAGCAGGCTAGGACCCTTCTACCCACACCACTGCCGGCTCCACCCCAAGCACCCGGGACTGAGGGGGAGTCCAGGCATTGTTGTTGGGGATGGTCAAGGCACAGCCTGGGCTTGTAAGGAGAGCTGGGGTGGGCCCTCCTAGGAGATGGTAGAGCCCCGGGCTCAGAAAGAGGGTGGAGGGTGGGGTGGGGGTGCTGGGAAAGGCGGTGGAATGGAACTGAGAGGACGAGCAAGGAAGGTGTCCTGTTCCCCTTGATCCGGTCCCTGTCTGCTCGGTCAGGCCTGACATCTGCAAACTCCGTCTCCATTCTTCAGAACATTAATCTGGTTTCCATTCCCGCCTGGTCCTTGGGTATCTGCAGCACGTCCCAGGCACTGCCCTCCCTCCCCTGCTCTGCCAGGGTGTGAATCCCAGACTTATCTCCTCCCCCTGCCCCCAAGGACACCCCTGCCTCCCGCATCCCGACCTAAGCTTCCTCACCAGGGATAGATGGGAAACCCTTAGATTTCTTCCTGTCCATAATACAATGTCAGCGTCTCAGTGGAGTTGTGTATTCAGTGGTGTGTGTGTGTGTGTGTTTGTGCGTGTGTGTGTGGGCCGAACCCTATCCGGGTCTCTCAGATAAACTGGAGGGGATTTCATTGCATCCTGGCAGTCTTCTGCTCCCTAACCACCAGCAATCCCCACCAGGAGTGGCTTCCGCACCGGCCGCCAATCTGATCTAATTTTCTCTGCTCCCCCCAGGCTGGCCAGAGAGTCACAGGCCAGCGACTTTACGATGGGAGCACTTGCTGTGTGGGACCAGGACTGGGTCAGAGAACAGGATGGAGGAGACGCAGGGGCCAGGGTGGCCACAAGGGGGCCGCAGAGGATACAAGGGAGCAGAGAGAAGGGGTGAGCGGTGCCCCCACCCTGCTGACCTGGGGGTACCCAAGGAGGAGGCAAACTGGCAGTCTTTGCAGGAAACAGTGTTTACAAGATAACCATGGGCTTTATTAATTTTCAAATGATAAATTCCCATAAAACATGCCCATTTAAGGTATGAGAATTTGAACAATTGGAGTCGGGTCCCGGCCTCAAAACAACAGAATAACAAAACCCGTCAATTGGATCCTATAAACAGGACACACTGTGAAACACCTTCCAAAACGTCAGGCGGTCACAAAGCACCAGAACCGCACCCACGTGCATCTGTACCTGAGGCCATGGCGATGAAAATAAAGACACTTTGGAGAGAACCTTTGTAAAATCCAAAGGAAGAAATAAACGCTAGACTTTGATTGGGTTTTAAATTTTTTAATTTTTTAATTTGCTTGCTTTTGCACACAGGGGAAGGGAGGGAGAACGAGAGAGAGAAACATCAGTGCACACGAGGAACGTGCACTAGCTGCCTCTCGCACATGTCCAGGTGGGTGCTGTCCCTCCCTCCAGGTGTGGGTCCTCACTGGGGATCCGACAGGACACCTCTCGGTTGGAAGGCAGGATTTCAGGCCACAGAGCGACGCCAGCTGGGGTTAAAAGATATACTTAGATTGTAAGTCTCCATCCTGTATAAAGGTGTCAGTTATCCACTCCCCCCCAAAAAATTTATCGATTAAATACGATTCAAATTAAATGATCGACGAGGATGGTCTGCTCCCTTGGAGAGTTCACGGGCAGCCCCACCAAAGCTGAACATCCACCCCCCGCAGCAATCTTGCTCCTGGACCCTAAAACCCCTAGATATATCAAGTGCACCCTGAATGCTGAGGTGGGGGCTTCAGAACAGCGCAGTGAACACGGCGCATAAGACTTCCAAAGTAGATAACAGTGCATTAACGTAACAGAAGAGTAACCCACCACCAAGACCGGGAGCCCCAGCTTCCCCCACCCGCCTGGGCCCACGCGCTAGAAAAGCCACCCCACTGGCGTCTGGTCCCGCGGGATCTGCACGACGTCGTTGGCGTAGACGCCCCTACAGCTCCAGCAACCTCCCGGGGCCCAAATCCTCCCCATCCGCAGAGTCCTCACCTGGGTTCCCAGGTCGGGTCCCTCCGACAGGTCTTACAGGGACAGCAGATCAGTGAGGTCAAGGTGGGACCAGAAATCATCGACGTTAGAGTCCTCAGCCCAGATGGAGGCTGCGGCTGGAGGTGGAGTCGGAGCCAAAGCCGGAGGTGAAGTTGGAGCTGGAGCGAGAGCAGGACCCGGAGCCGGTGCAGCCGGGACCGGATTCTGGGCGTCCTGAGCGGGATCTTGCCAGGCCTGCACGTGGCTGGAGGCGCTGGGCTCTGCCGCTGCGACGCCTCCCAAGGGGTTCTCGAAACCTGAGCCCCCAGGAAGCACAGAACTCCCGGAAAGCATGGGATCCTCGGAAAACAAAAGCTCCCAAGGCAATTCAATGTTCTGGAATAACCCAGGATCCCAAGGCAATTCAAGCTCATCAGCGATCCCAGGACCCGAGGCGAACTCCGGGTCCTCGGGCAACCCGGGGCCCACAGCGGCTGGCGCAGGCGCAGGCGCGGAGGCGCAGACTCCTGGGCTCTGGGACGAAGCCCGGGCTTTGGGGCCCTGCCGGCTGGTTCCGGTTCCTCTCTGCAGCCTAGTGTGTTTGGCCCGACGGTTCTGGAACCACACCTGGGGGGCCAGGGGACAGGGAGGAAGTGTCAGAGGACAGAGGCTCGGAGCTCCCACCTCTGCCCGGGTGTGAGGCGGCCCCCGCGGGGGAGGAGAGCCGGCCGGCCTCACGCGTCTCCCCCCGCCCGCGGACCCAGCTTCTGGCTCCGGGGTTCAGTGGCCTCGGCCTGGGGCGCCCAGGGGCCAGGACGCGGTCTGCCCGAGAGGATCCCGGGTTCGGAGGGCTCCTGAGGCCCGGGCGTGGGGAGACGCCAGGGCATGAGTTTGGGGTTAAATGCCTTGGCGGGTCTGCACCGCAAGGGTGAGGGCGGCTCGGGGGCTGGGCCCTGAGTCCCCAGGGGTGACCCAGGGCGGCACGCGGCTGCTCTGGCCCCCTCGTCGCCCCGGCTGCTGCGGCGCAGGACCAGGGCGGGCGGCCTGTGGTCTGGACGCCCCCGGGAGCGGGTCGGGAGGCACCTGCACTTGCTGTTCCTGCAGATTCAGCCTGGCCGCCAGGGTCTCGCGCTCCTCGTACGACGGGTAATGATTGTTCTCGAAGAAGCTCTCCAGCTCCTCCAGCTGCGCCACGCTGTACACGGTGCGCGGATGGCGGCGCCGCTTCGGGGGCTTTGGGGGCAGCGAGAAGCCTGCATGAAGAGGAAACCGGGGTCGAAGGAGCCCCACAGACAGTCCCCCGGCCGCCCCACCTGGGCCAGGCCCCGGGGAGCCGGTGGGGAAGGGGTGGCAGCCCAGGCCACAGGGCCGGGGAGGCGCTGTGGGTGCCCTGTGGTTTCTGGGCCAGCCGCCAGGACCCTCCACCTTCCCACCCGGCCCATCACCGGTCTACGCCTCAGTCTCCACCTCTTCAAAATGGGCGCGAGAACAGCGCCTGTGTTACTGTCACAGGGCCCATAGCCCGCAAAAGCAGGCAGGGGGCCCCAGGCTCACCCGGGCCTCACCAGGCTGCACTCGCTGCCGGAGCCACGCCGACACTTGATGGAGGCTGCGGTGTGCCGGGCCCTCTGCTCATCACGCTCCCCACAGTAGCTTCCCACCCCCAAACTCACTAGGCCCTCCCAGACAAGGGGCCCTGGTCTGCACGCCCAGGATCCGGGCAGCCTCCGCCTGGAAACCGCCGGCACAGCCTTGCCCTCGGCCTCCTCTCCCTTCCCGCCACCACTGCCCAGACTCACCCTCCGAAGGCCCGAGTGGCAACATCCTGAATGCTGCGGAATCCGCCGCGTTTGAGGCTCTGTGTTCAAGGTCTGGGCCTTAAATACCCTGGGTGGGACGTCAGGGTCCAGGGAACCACCTTCGCGCTCAGCCCCACCCCACCCCAGAGATGCGATACTGGATTAATCCTTGTATTGAGCACCTACTGTGTGCTGAGCCTGTTTCGGACAGGAATCCTCTGGCACCAGGCAGGCTGGGTCTGTAGCTCCGCACGGGGTGGGGTGGGGTGGGGTGGGGTGGGATGGGGTAGGGTGGGGAATGGCAGGGATAACGGGTTCCTAGCTCCTGGGTCCCCATCGCTGGAAACGCCCTACTGTGGTCCCGCCTTTGCCCCAGGCTCAGCTTGTTCCTTCCTGGTCTCCCGCATCCCACCTGCCCCACCGCAAAGCAGCGTCCTCCCAACTGCCGGGAGCCCACGGGAACTCCACAGGCCGTGGTCCACGGTCCCCCAGGCCCAGGGGGGAGGGGCGGGGTTCAGACACGCTGGCCCTTCCCGCCGCTCCGACTCGTCCGGGCGGGTTTCCCTCCGCGGTGGCGGCGGCAGGCGGTGCAGGAGGACAGTTGGCCAAAGTCTCTCGTGAACGAATGAACGGGGTCTGGCCTGTGTGTTCGTAGTCACCGCGTCCAGCCCCTCCGGGGGGCGTAGACCCGCGGAAAAAGGTCAGGCGGGACTCCTCGCCTGTCCAGGGTCTGCTGGGGACTCGGGTCAGGGGGCAGCTCACCCCCCGACGCGCACCCCCAGGGACTTTCACTGTACTCCGAGCCAGTGACAATAGACTGGGGGGTTCAAGTGCAGAAAGGGACACAGCGGAGCCATCGCCTGGTGGGGGTCAGCTCGCGCCCCGAACTGCGGCTTCCCGGCTCCCCGCGGCCTCCTGCTCTTCTCCACTGAGTCTCCTGCTTCTTAGGGTCACGCTGGACCCCAGGCCCGACTCCGGCCTTGACGGCCACACGGGAACGCCCAGCATTTCCCTGGTCTACAAACGTGAGGAGAGGCCCCTTCTCTCTGCTGGTGCAAGGGAAGTGAGTGTAACGTTTTGCTGGTTCGATGGGCAAAGATGAGGACAGGGCTTGGCTTGCAGTGTTTGGGAAGGGAGGCTTGTTTCTGCACGGGACTCGGAGGTATCCATCCGCTTCCGCCTCCAGAGACCGTCAGGAGGACAGGACAGAGGAGTCTGTCCTGCCCAGACTCCGAGGTGAGCTCATCTCCTGGCAGGACCCTGGTGGGACCAGGGGTCAAGTGTCAGGACAAGCCTGGCTGACAAGGCTCACTGTTCAGTGAGCTGGAAATTTCCCAAGCGATCAAACTCGAAACTGAGTAAAACATATGGACATTTTCATGGAGATTTTGCTCATAATGGTGACCTGCTACTTCATGCTCTATCCCAGCAAACCCCACCAGCCAGGACCTCTTCTGGCCCACAGGCCGAGACCCCCTGAGACCCTGCGAGCACACGGGGGAGGGACAGCCCTCGGGGGCCTGGAAGTGCAGGGAGGTGTTCGGCCCCTTCAGGTGGGAGTGGGTGGACAAGTTTAGTGTTCCCTGTCACCAGAGAAGCAAAAACAAACTGAAACCACTGTCAACACATGAAGGGAGGAAGCAAGCCTGGTGTGTTCCTGCGGCAGAATATTATTCAACCACCAAAAAGGAATCGGGTGCTGACCGGTGCCGCCAGTGGGGGAACCTCCCAACAGGACACAGAGGGGGTGTAGTGTTGGGTGCCGCTTGTATGAAATCTCCGGATGATTCCTGAAGAGGCGGGGGGGTAGTGAGCGGCTGCGGGAACTGGGGGGAGGGGGTTGGGAGTAACTAGTGATGGGGATGGTGGAGTTTCTCCCTAGGGTGGTGGGAACGTTCTCCCATTGCTGATGGGGACGGATGCAAGACTCTGTGGATAAACTGAACAACTTTGAGCTGCAAGCTTCCCATGGGTGGGTTTGTGGCACCGGCACCTGGCAACCCCGACAACAGGTGCACGCCCTGCTGGTTGTGTTATTCCACTGGGCCCACCCAGACCAGATGCATGGATGGCGGCAGACCCAGCGGGGCACTAGAGGAGGGAGCGGCCTTCTCTCGCCGTCCTTGGAGTGCAGGCGGGTGGAAGAATTTCTTCAGGGACTTGGGAGCCTGAGTCGATGGTCAGCTGTGGATAGTATCTCTGTCTCAATAGATTTATGGTAAAAAGAGAAAAATCACTTTGGGAGAATTCCTGCCCACGGTGAGCAGGCACAAATATGTATGTTTTGAGACGTCAGTGAACTGAGTTCATTGAATTAACTCATGCCTGTGGTTAAGAGAACAATTAAACAATTCTTGGCAAGGTCGGACTAATTAACTGTTACAAGGCACCAGAGGAAGGGTTTTGGCAGCCACCAAAGATTTCCAGTGCGCTGTGGTGCAGTGTGCCTGGCTGGGGGGGGGAGGGCGGGGGGAGGTGTCTGGCTTCTGGTTTGCGGTGCGTTCTAAGCCCTTGCGGGGCTTTCCCTCCCTAATTCTGTTGTTTAGAATGAGAAAAGCTCTAAGGTGCTGACTGCTGATAAAGTTTTGCCCGGGGCACAGTTAATGTCCGGTGTCTGAGCTCGTACACATTTACTTAGCACATGCTAATATGCTAAGCACCACACGAATGCACTGATCCGTAATCTATTTCCCCTGCAAGCCCTGATTCTGGCCCGCTGCCCCACCCGATGGTTGACCCACCTCTTGCCCTCAAGATGCTCACAGGTTCCAGACGTCTCCACTCTGTGGGGGGAAGGGGCTCTAAAAGGGGAAGGTAGGAAGACCCAGCTGTCCTTTGAAGACATGATGGGCTTCTGGCCTGTCGTTCTTCACTGCAGGTCCTCCCTGTGCCCCTAGACCCTGCTCTCTGCCTCCTCTTCCATTCGGAAGGACAGCCGATCCCCCCATACTTGTGGATGCCATACTGCGGTGTCCCCTGCAGCCGGGGACACCCAAATACTCTGCCTTCCTGCACTGGAGACACCGGCCCTCTGGGTGTATTCATTGCCGAAATGTTCGCATTTCCAGGCCTTTAAAAATGGTGATAGCATACCCATGACGTGGGGTTTATCATTTTAACCAGTCCGAAGAATACAGCTCAGGACACTGCGTTCATTCACGATATCGAGCGACAATCACTGCCACCTACACCCAGAAGCTTTGCATCCTCCCCAGCAGAAGGCCCTCGATCCACACCGACTTCCCCTACCCCCTCCATGTGGCCCCTCATCAGGTCTGTTGCACTTCCTGTGTCTGTGAACTTCATTCAGTGCCTTATTCAAGTGGACTCATACAACAGTTGTCCTTCTTTTTCTGATCTATTTCACCGGGCATAACGCCTTTGTTTCATCCGTGTTGTAGCATGTATAAAAATTTAATTCCTTTTCATGGCCAAATAGTATTCCCTTGTCTGTGCATACTACCTGTCGTTTCTCCATTCGTGCACTGATGGGCACCTTGCTGCTCTGGGCAGTGGTGAACAGTGCAGCTGTGAACACGGGTGTGAACACGGGTGTGTAAACATCTGAGTGCCTGCTTTCAGTTCTTCTGGATATAACCCAGGGTGTGGGGTGACTTTCTGCATTTTGCCAGTGATTTCACTGCTTTAAACAGCCCCCAAGCATGGTGCCAAAACACGGTCTACTGTCCCCTAAGCATCGGAAGCCTCCAGTGTGCCTTACCGAGAGAGAAAAGGCACACGGGATGCGCTTCCTTCAGGCACAGCTTTGCCTGCCGCCAGGCATGAGTTCAACGAGACAGAGCCCATTGTGCATGTGCCGTTAGCTGTCTGCACACAGAAACACACGTAAAACAGGGGACGTGCCGGTCCGCTGATGAAAACATGGCCAGAGGCTGATGAGCCCAACTGTGGGAGAGACCTCTGGCCACCAAGTTTTCATCAGAGGCTCCTGAAGGTGAGGCCTGGTGAAGGCATGTGCTGCCGAGCCCCCTCTGACTGTCTCCAATCCGAACTGAAAGGGGAACGGACCCCCAGACCCTGTCCTCCAGGAACCATAAACGACAGTGTCAAATCCAGTGTTGGCTTAAACGCCTGGCCTGTGATGAGTGACCTCGGGGACGAGGTCTGCACCGTCAGAGAGGACGGAGTGAAGTGTGCAACCCGGTTGGTGTGGGAGAGAATGAAGCCGCTGTGGCACCTACAGTGGCAGCAGCTGCTGTTCTGCATTTGCAAACCGTTTCCCCAGAAGCACAGAACAGTTGTGTTGTGCTCAGCAGGGAAAATGGAGACTGCACCTCCACACCTTGGAGGAAGCAGGCTAGCTGCTCACCAACCTGTTCCTGTTCAGTTTATCCGAAAGGAAGAAATGGGGCTCAGTGTCTCCAGACATTTGTCAATTGTGTTTCCTTGTCACTGTTAACTTCCCGTCTTACTGTCGTAAACAGCTTTCAAAATGCTAAAAAAAAAATCAGGAAGTGTGTGGAAGGGGAACTCAGAGCATTCGAGGGGGTGAGGGGGAGCTGTGCTAAGGCAAGGCAAGGCCTGGGTGCCAGTCCACTGGGGAGGAGGTCGGAAAACTCCCAGCCAAGTGCAGGGGTGCTGGGAAGGGCTGGTTCCCTCACCAAATAGCTTTCGGCCTCAGTGTCTCACCCTGCCCTGTTCTGGGGGGTTCGGAAGGAATGCTGTTCCTCAGATGTGAGATCCGGGGGCCTCTCTGCAGAACAGTGGTCCTGGGGCGAGGCCCTGAGCTTTCTTCTGATGCTGAAGACAAAACTGCCCTCAACGGCCACCTGCTGCCCTGCCATGGAGACCTCCCCACTAACCAGGCCCACCTGCCAGAGATGGCCGTCTCCATGTTTACTCTAACTTACTCAGAGAAAGACCCTTGGGTGAGTCAGAGCTCAGACTGAGTTCATAGGCTGTGCGATAGGTGGATATGAGACCCCTCATGCCTTCACCAGTTAGGAGGAATTATAAGGCATCCAAAATGTGCTAGCAAAAGTTTTTCTGCAACAGGAGAACGAT